TACAAAGGAAGCTGGGAAACCTGTGGCAGGGGAAGTCAACCGACTTTGGTTACAGTATTAATGGTAGGATGGATAGTTGTCATAGACTCATAGAATGGTTGGAGTTAGATGGAACCTATAAAGGTCCTTTGGTCAAACCCCCCTGCACTGAGCAGGGACACCCACAGCTCCATCAGGTGTTCAGAGCTCCATCCAACCTGACCTTGAGTGTCTCCAGGGATGGGGCACCACCACTTCTCTGGGCAACCTGTGCCAGTGCCTCACCACCCTGGTTGTAAAAAAAAATAATTAAAAAAAAATCTGTCCCAGCGTTGTACAGAGAGACCTGAAGCTGGAATGTATGACCTTGACTCTGTTCACTTCAGCAGAGCTTTGCTGATTTATGTTGAGAGAAATCTTTCTAGCAGTTTCCTTGATTTACTTTATTAACTGCAGACTGTATCATAAAGCTTTATCTTATTATGTGGGTCAGTGTAGGATAGGACCATTGTATGCACACTGCCTCCTTTACTCCTGTTAAATGAAGGAATCACACTACAGATCTGCAAACTCCTGCCAAAACTAACAAAAAATAGTTTTTCCTGGGATTCAGGGAGATGGTGTTAATGTGTAAATGTGACATCTTATGACACATGGTGGAGAGTTCCTACTGAATATGGCAAAAAATGCAGATTAGTGCCAATCACTCCTCACTACACTTTCACCATCTCCCTCTGAGCAACTGGAAAAATGGGAAAGAGAAGGGAGTGCTTTTATAAAATGTGATTCTCTGAGAAGTCACCGGTGAAAACAACAGGAACTCTTTTGAAGTCTGGAGATGCTCAGTTGCATGTAATTTTTCTTTTAAAAGGTATTCCCTAATCCTGACTCTTTGGCCCATTGCTCCTTTGAACTTCCTGAGATGGCAGCAGGCAGATGGAGCAGCTGAGTTCTGGCCTGTTCGAGACAAACCGGGAAGGCTACCGAGAAACTCCAGCTACAGCAACCCCTGTTGTCTGTCTGTGTGAGCTGTGTGAGCTGTGTGAGCTGTCCGGATAACAGCCAGGATATTAATTGGTAGCTACAGAGCTTGGTATGGCCTGGCTCTGGACCAACTGTTTGGTTTAGGGTTTTTGGTGTTGGGTTTTTGTTGGGTTTTTTTGTTGTTGTTGTTTTTTGTCTGTAATTAGCTGTTTTATTTCCATTTTTCTGAAAAATCGTATTCTAACTATTCTGCTGGAGCTGAGTTCTATGTTCTTAAAGCCCAAATCTGATCAGACTGGATGCAGTGCTCATTGTAAGATCTATCTAGGTACCTACAAGTACTCCATGTGATAGTCCGAGATACAATCAAGATAAGGATTGCTGCTGTGTTTTCCTACAGTAAGTGATAAAATGGGGCAGCTTTGGGGCCCTCAAGCCTTCTTCAGATCCCCAGGAGAGGTGGCAATGCAGGGCTCTCAGCAGACACCTGGGGTTGTTTTTGGTTCATGGATTATCCCAAATTCTTGGATATCCCTATCACTGATAAGCAGAAGGTGATATACCTGGACATAAATATGTCTGACAATAAAAAAAATCTGCTTTTACTTCACACGCAAACCAGGCTGAAAAAGTGAGATCTACACTAGGCTTGGCTTATTTTTATTTGTAACTGCTTTTTAAGCTATCTTTCCCGATACCTTCGGGGCTTACATATATTACAAGTTTATGCAAGACTTTGAAGTCAGAAATGGTGAAAGTCACTTGACCAGCTTTGATTTTCTGGAGTCGAGAATCATTTCGAAATGCCTGCTGCTGTCTGTACTCGATTTCATGTCCAACACTGGGAACATAAACTGCATTTTTCAGTCGTGATTTTCTAAAGGGCAAAACAATTAAGGATTTTCTACCATATGTAGTTTTCTTAGAGCTTTTTCTCATACGAATGGCAGCATTTGGGTGAAATTGGTAGGTGTGATCCTTTAGAATTTTCTGTGATAGGTAAATCATAAAAACTGGCATTTGTTTCCTGATTTTATATGTTTTCTTGATGTATTTTAGGTTTGGAGGTTTTTGACCATTGACAAAGGCAGTGCTGTTTTAGCTGGTATCAGTCTTATTCTGGTCTGTCAGCTGCAGGCCTTTGTAAGGGCACATTTCCTGGTGCCTGCATGGGCAGTGGCACCGCTGAGTCACCACCACACCCTTTCTTTGAGCACCCAAAAAGTTATGTTTTTCTTTTTTGAGAAAAAGCCGGAAGTCGTGAGACTTATTTAAATTGCCCTAAAGCTGCTATGCTTACTTGTTTCATCTTCTTTACTTAGTGATTAGTTTTTGATGGTGGTTTTCAATAGTGTAGTTATGCACATGGGTGAAATCACAGCTTTTTGAGCTCTGAAAAGGTTTTTCCTTCTCTCTTTCAGGGTTGTGTGATGTGTGTTATCAGAAAACTGCTCCTGGTCAGAATGAATCCTGATAGAGATTACTTAGGATAATCCCATGTTTTCCTAAACCACTCTGTTAAGCTGAACTATTTGCAACTGCTTCAGTTGCTATGGAGCATAGTTATACTGGGCATCCAAAGAGGACTTTCTTTGCTTTATAAAATTGGCTGCGGCTTAACTTCACAATCAATGTTTATGTGGAATAACATCTGTAGTGTTGATTTCTGAAAAGGGCTCAAGGTACCTTATACCACTTACAGCTAAATCCAGCTGGCAATTTCAAGTGGGGAGCTACCTTTTGAACCACACGTGCAAAAAAATATATTATAAGAATTGCCTGATCTGAAGGTCGCATGATTGTTTTGTTTGAGAGAGCTTTATTTGGGAATCTCTTACCTCAGATGAGCTTGTGTTTATATGACTAAGTCTCCCCTGGAACCCAATGAAACAAAAGAATTTTGAAGACAATCCATGTGGATCTTAGAACACATAGGAAAAACTGGATGTTGAACAAAAAAAACAGTCTTAACTTTATTTACAGAGGTATTATCTGAAAACGTCTGCTCCCTTTTACAGAGTTCCACTGCTATCTGTTGGAGAGGTTGCCTTCCTGTCTATAAACAAACGTGCATGAAAAATGTACCATGGATGTGCTGTGCTCCTGTCTTTGTGATCAGTAGTACTGACATTTTAGGAAGAAAGATTCTGCGCGTCACCTCAGGTAGGGATTTAGCTCACAAAAACTTTTTAAATCTTACTTTTGTTGAAATTTATGGCTGGTTAAAATCGTAGAATCATAGAATGGCCTGGGTTGAAAAGGACAAGAATTCTCATCTAGTTTCAACCCCCTGCTATGTGCAGGTTGCCAACCAGCAGACCAGCCTGCCCAAAGCCACATCCAGCCTGGCCTTGAATGCCTCCAGGGATGGGGCATCCACAGCCTCCTTGGGCAACCTGTTCCAGTGTGTCACCACCCTCTGTGTGAAAAGCTTCCTCCTAATATCTAACCTAAACCTACCCTGTCTTAGTTTAAACAAACAAACAAACAAACAAACAAACAAAATGCTGGCTTCTCAACTTTATGTGGTGTGGACAAGGAGGAAGCAAGGGGATATGCATATCTTCCAACTCAAAGTCCTCAGAACACAGAATTATAGAACCATGTGAGTTGGAATGGATCCTTGAAGGCCATCAGTCCAACCCCTCTCCAATGAGCAGGGACACCCACAGCTCCATCAGATGCTCAGAGCACATCCAGACTGACCTCGAGTGTCTCCAAGGGTGGGGCAACATCTTGTGTATGTGTCCTGAATCCCCTCCCAAGTGCTCTGGAAGAGGAAATTTTTCTTTCCTCTGGCTTTACTTAGGTCCTATACCTAAGCCTGTTGGACATCTGAGATTTGATGTTTAGCACTTCAGGCAGCTCCGACCAATGTACATTACAATCTCTTCAAATAACTTTTGCTATAGTAGGAACTTTTCAAAAGGCTGGTTATGCTGAAAGTTTGAACACATACTGTAAAGTTCAGGTTTTGTACTAAAAGAGAAGTTTTGTAGCCTGGAATAGATAAGGATAGTGGTCGTAGAGCCTGTGAGTGGGGCAGAGAAGGAGGTTAAGGTAGCTGTCACTTTGCTACTTGGGAGGTTCAGGTTGGATGTTAGGAAAACTTTCTCAGAAAGAGTGGTGAGATAATAGAACGGGCTGCCCAGGGAGGTGGTGGAATCACCCCCCCTGGAGGTGTTCAAGAAGCACCGAGGTGTGGCACTGAGGGACGTGGTCTAGTGCAGCCACAGGCACTGGCTTTTGGTTGGACTGGGTGATCTTAGCGGTCTTTCCAACCTTAAGGATTCTATGAGTCTGTGATACTGAACAAATTAATTGACCAAATTGGAGGTTGTAGATCATCTCCATCTTAAAATATTGAAAAAAAACTATGTTTGTCATTCTAGTTGCGGTCCAGGGATTTGTAGTTGATAATTAAACATGGATTTTGGCAAGAGAATGGTAAATGTAGCACCCATGCTTGAAAAGAGGGAAAATCTGGTGAGGGCAGTACAATATTAACGAAGAGGCAGAGTCACAGAACAACTTCAGAGGGAAAGAGGAAAAAAGAGGTGATTGGAAAGCATGGCAGATTACACCAGGGCTTTAGGTAGGGTACATTCTGTTAGATAAATCTCTCTTGGCAGAAAAACTAATTTCCTTAATGGGGGCAATATAGCGAGTTTAATTAATTGAAGCATTAATTCAGAACACATTCTGAATATGGAAATGACAAGGCATCCTAAGGGAGCTAAGAGGTGGTTGTGCAGCAGGCCGGGCCGGGCACGGGTATTGAGTCTGAGTGCACGGAAGGGCTTGAATGAAGGCGAGAAAATAGCTACTGCAACTGGTACTGCGTGACCGGGCCCCGCAGGGTGGTGGGTGGGGAAGCCGTTCTGCGGAGACGGATCGGTCCGGGTCGGAGCCGCGAGCTCGCTCCAGAGGACGCCCCGTCGCACCCCGCTCGGTGCCCGCTCCTGCCGGCAGGGGGCGCCATAGCGCCGCGCCGCGCCCAATCCCGCCCGCCCGCCACCAGGCCGCTCAGCCGAGCTCCGAGCGCCGCCGCGCTGCCGGTGCCCGCTGCGGGCGGGCCGAGGATGGCCCTGTCGCGGGGGCTGCGCTGCTGCCAGCGGGCGTTCGCCTGGGTGCCCGTCCTTATCATCGCCCTCGTCGTCCTGTGGTCCTATTACGCCTACGTCTGCGAGCTGTGCCTGAGTGAGGGGCGGGCCGTGAGGCGGGGGAGGGGGGAGCGCGGCCGCGCCGGGCCTCGGGCTCAGCCGCCCGGTGCCTCCGTGCAGGTGCCGCGGGCGGGGCGGGGCGGGGCGGCGCGGAGCCCAGGCGAAACGCCTGGCTTTTCTCCCTTTCTGCATTCGCTTTGAGCCGCGCGGCAGCGGCAGCAGGTGTGGGCGCCGGCCGCGCGGCGCAGCTCGGGCTGCGGGCACCGGGCGGAGAGCGAAGGGCGCCACGCGGCGGGGCGGCCTGGCTGTGAGCGGGGCGGCGGCGCCCTGCCGGTCCGTCGCTCCGGTAAATGCGGGCGCCGGTTCCCAGAGCAGCAGCGTGAGGTGGTGCTGTGTCGCCTTCCGGCGTTGCACGGCAGGCTTGCACCGTAAGGCCGTTAGCCCTCGTTGCTTCGGCAACCCTATTGCTTCACGGAGCGGCTGAGGCGAAGAGCGGCTTCTGTGATCCGTCTCAGCGTGCGGCGGAGCGAGAGCCCCGAGTGCTCCGTGATGTTCCATTGCATCTCCGCAATTGCTGGCCGTTTCTTGCCAAATCCGCGCGGAACGGTGCCCCAGATGCCTGGAGGTACCCGGCAGCTCTGCAGCTGCTGGCCGGGCTGTGGGACAAACAGATCAGAAAAGCTGCTGGACTTTTGCAATACGCTGTGATTGCAGTGCCGTGGAAGCGCAGTAGTGCTTAACGCTGCTTGACTCCGCAGCTGGTAAAAAAGGCTCCGCTGAATTAGATGGGATTTGGATTGGGATTGTGTTATTCTGCAGATGCGCATTAGGCTGGCAGGAGCCCAGCGTGCGGCCTGGGGTCACGTCTCACAGCCGCTGCTCTGCCCTCACTTGTCTGCTTTTGCCTCGTCATTCTCTCTCAGGCTTTTTGTTTGCACGTGCGGATGTAATCTCTGCAGAAGTCAAAAAGAGTAGGTGAAGTCTTTTAGGAATCAAACCTTGACTCTTGGCGTGTGCAGATACCTGAAAACCAGCTCTCAGGACTTCCTTTCTCGTCCAAGTTCTGAACGCTGTGTGTTGCTGTTTCAGCAGTTGCAGGCATACAAAGTAGCCACGCAGTTTTAATTTTTGACTTTTATCTTTATATTGTGCTGAGGGCTGGAAACAGTGTCGGGTGATGTATCTCAATGGGGACTGCAAGAAAGCAGGGTACAGACTCTTCAGCAGGGTCTGTTGTAATTGGACAAGGGGAAATGGTTTCAAACTAAAGGAAGGGAGATTTGGACTGGATATAAGAAAGATTTTTTTACAATAAGAGCAGTGAGGCATTGGCACGGGTTGCCCAGAGAGGTGATGGTGCCTCATCTGGAGACACTCGAGGTCAGGCTGGACGGGGCTCTGAGCACCTGATGGAGCTGTAGGTATCCATGCTCATTGCAGGGATGTTGGACTGATGGCCTTTAGGACTCCCTTCCAACTCAAGCTATTCTCTGTCCTGAGGTAGCTCATAGTGCTGGGATTGGAACTTCAGCCACTTGTGTGGGCAGCAGCTGACACTCCAGAGGGGACTGTGGTACTGTGCCAGATTGGTGGTTGCTGCACCAATGAGAGCAAGAACCTGGGGTAAAAACTTGTATGCAATCTTTGCTTTGGAGTTTGCTCTTTTCTTGAGCTAATTAGGAAGGCTGTGCAGCCATTACAACATGGACTGCAGGAGGGAACAAAGCAGTGTTTATGAAAAGCTGATATGCACTTCAGAGGTTGATTTGCAACAAGTGAAAGGAAATATTAAAGTTTTCTAAGCATCTTGATGGTCTGTAATGCAGTGCACAGCAACACAGCAAATATTTTGTTTCTTTTCGTTTACATTTTTATGTGTCAAACAGCTTGCAGATCAAAATTGTTATTAGCACAGTTTTGAGAAAAGCTTTTGTTAGCCAAGGCTGTGATCCCCCATCGCTTCCAGCTTGGCGAGGTCTGAGTGAAGGCTCAGCCCAGGAAGGTGCTGTCAGTCAATGAGTTGTTCAGCAAGGTGACCTTATCCTCATTCTGTAAGGTCACTGGGGCCACCACAGCCATATCTTTTCTATTCAGTTTGGACAGTGACCCACCAGAAGCCACTGGTGTTGGTAGGCGCTGTGCAGCACGCACAGCTGCATGCTTCAAGAACTGCTAGCAGGGACTGTCAGGATTGCAGCCAAGAGAGGAGGGGTTGTGAAATGTCCGTTTGTAGGGGTGATAGAAATGGTTGTGTCATTATAGGGCATCCATCTTTCCATCTCTGCTGACTGAACAGAGCCAAGGCAATTTCTCATTTTTATTTATGCTCGTGCAGAACTGAATGGGGCATGGTTTTCTGTGGAGGATCGAGGCTAGCAGGAAGCAGGCTGATAAAGGCACACCTAAAGATGCAACTTGGGCACTGTGCCCAAGAAGAACCTGCTAATCTGGTCAGCAGCAGGGCACTATATAAGCAAAATATGTATCTATTTTATAACAAGGGAAAACACAGCGTAGGTAACAGTGATTGAAACATGTTGTTGGTGTCATTTGTGAGCAAACAAAGAACTGCTAGGGATGCTTTCAGTGTGAGACTTTTCTTGTCTGCTGTGTTGAAATGGAACTGTTTGTTGTTGTTGTTGTTTTTCTAAAACAAGCATATTTAAAATTAGAAACATCATTTGGCACAAACATTCCTGAGATTCCTATTTGCTCTGTAAGCATATGTTTTTTTCTTTTTCAGTGACTCTCAGCAACCCTGCAGAAAAAGGTATGCATGTTTTATTTATAGTATGTTGTTCAGTCTTTGTGTAAAAAACAAACAAAAAAACAACAAACCATGAATGTGGCAGTTACAGTACCAAACAGAGCACCCAGCAATGGTTTTCAAGCTTAACATGCTTTTGTAGTTCCCTGCCTCTAGTTGCACATCGTTGTGCTGTAACTTCAGTATGCAGTGGGAGATGCCCCTGTTCAGTCTCAGTGCTTGAACAATGACGTGAAAAGGCTGCAACCCCTTTTGCTCTTTTTTCTTTTTGCTTGAGAGATGTCCCAGTATTTGAAACAGTCATAGAGGAACTGTGGAAAGCACGGTGTTAATGATCATCCAGAAGAAAGCAGTCATTGCCAGGTATAGTCGTGCATCTCCAGGCCAGCTTCCTGTGATGGGTGCTATGCTGCTTGATTGACACCACGAAACAATTGCAAGACTTCTCTCCTTAAATATTGATTTAAATCAGCTGAGCTCCATCTGCGTGTGGGATGAGGATTGCATCTCAGAATAATGAGCTGTCGTTGATTTGTGTGATCAGTTCCACATCCCAGCACGTCACTGTGAGAAACTCTCAAAGCTGTGTTTGGCCTTTGTATACCAATTGCGTTTTCAGTCAGTCTGTGTAGTTGGAAGTGCTTGCATGTAGACTTCTCTTTCTTACATGTAGTGGTGGTTCAATCTTAATTTGCCAGAATTTGAGAATTAAGTAAAGGAGATAAAATGGAGATGATGCGATTGTATAGCGTGTTTAAATAAAACTGTCTTCTAACTGATGTGTTTTAGTGAGCCTTCAGTATTAAAGAAATAATTGAACAGTTTGCACAGCTGAAGGATTGCTCTGCTTTGACTTTCTGCACCGCTGTATGCCTTGGGCATCCAAAGGCTTTGCAATCAAATTTGTATATTAAGATAAGATTGCTCGGAGTCATGCTGGGTTCCACATTTCATCCAGCAGCTTACTGTGCTTTCTCAGTAATCACAAGATTACTCCTCCTTATTTAGAGGGATGCTTTCCTGTTTTTTTTATTGTATCAACTGTGGCAAATCTAAAGGGTGTTGAATAAGAGATCTGATTTTTCTGGTGATGAAAAGCTCTGCTAGAGTTTTTTTTCGAATGTCCTAAGTGGTGAAAAATACATCACATGGGTGAGCATTGCACTGCAGTAATAGTACTGTGGTTGCAAGCGTGTTCCATAGCAGCCAAACCCCAGACCTGGAGATTCTGTGCTGCTCAGCAGCAGCCAGGTCTGCTGTGCCCTGCAGGGTGGCATCTCCCATAGTCTTCCTCTTCATTCATACAAGTGGCTTGAGTGAAGATGGGGAGGTGTGTGTGGTGGGTAATTCCTAACTACAGCTGCAGCTCTCTGAAATTCTGCTGTCCTCCTGGCCCTGAGGTTTAGCTGTGCCCTAATACTGGCTGCTAGTAGAAATCTTCCTTTTTTCCCCCTTTTTATGTCACTGTTGTGAAAGATTGGAATTATGCCCATCGTAAGCAAAACTTTTGCGAAGTCACTGTTCTGCTCTTGTTTTTTTTTGTTTTTTGTTTTAGTGGCCTATCTTATAATATTCCATATTCTCTTTGTGCTCTTTGTGTGGACATACTGGAAGTCTATTTTTACTCTCCCGGTTCAGCCAGGCAAAAAGGTAAGAATCCCAGCACTTCCTGTTCATTGCAGAGTGAAAGCAGGGATGCTGAAGAAAACTCAAAAATCCTTCAATCAAATTGATCTGCACAACTGATTGGTTTTGCTAAGGAGATGAAAAGGGACCTAAAGTGACCTAAAGACTGAGTTCTTTACTGTTCTGAGAATCCTTTGACAACCCACAGAGCATGATTTAAATCAGACACGGATATTACTGTGTCTATTCTATTACTGCTCAGTTACTGGAGCAACAGAATAGGGTGATGTTTGTGTGGTACTTCCAATATACGTTGCCATAATCCGGTCCAAATCACAAGAATATAATTCCAGTGTTAGCAATAGAAAACTATAGGTGGGGACAGGTTCTTGCTCATAAGAGTGCTTAAGATGTCCTTTTCACCATTACTGATGTTATTCATGAAAAATAGTAGTCTGAAGCAGCAGCAGTGGTAGCAGTTCCAAATGTGTTGTTTTGTGATCTTAATTTTACTTCTGCAATTCTTTTGGATGCATTGCATAGTGTGCGGCCTGTCTGTCCATCCCTTATTTCTCACACCTTTTCCCATTAGAGTAATCTTTTTAGAAGGAGTGGGAGATAAAATATTTCCAGTCTTGCCTGTATTTGAGAAACTGTCTCCACTCCCCATGAGTAACTGCTTCTCTCATGACTTCTGCTTCCAGTACCATATGTCCTACGCTGACAAAGAGCGCTATGAAAATGAAGAAAGGCCAGAGGTGCAGAGGCAAATTCTTGCTGAAATTGCGAGGAAGCTGCCAGTGTACACGAGAACGGGGAGCGGAGGTCAGCAAAGCAGAGAGCTCTGTTTCTCTGAATTTAATCAAGCAGACTAAAGTAGCATATGCTAGCAGTGCAGGTTATACAGTCAGCCTGATGCCACCGCATCCACTGCGTGGTTCTTGTGCTCAGAATTTTGTGTCTTATCTGTCAGGTTTTGTGTTTGGGAAAACAGAAAGGCTTTAAGATTGTAGTGCATCTTCACTGGAGTAGTGTGTTCTGGCTTTGAGCAGCAATATGCTGTCCTCTGTACTTACAATTCAGCAGCCTACTTGCATTGTCTGAGTTTAGTAGTAGCAATAATAGCATAATACCAAAATCTGTAGTGGTTTTTCCTTAAGATGGAGTCTAGCTTAGAGATTCGGGGTGTAAGGTCCAAAAATCCATTCATGGAATTGTTCTGTGATGAAATGCATACTGCACTCCTTTCAAAGCTTCAGGGAAATCCATGTTCAGGTTGGAGGCTCTGACCTGTTTGCTTCTGGCAAACAAGCCAAAGAATTCTGAAGTAAAGAACTGCAGTTATCAAAATGGAATGTATTTAAAGTCTGGGTTAATCTAGAAGCTAGGTGGAGGTGTGTACAGTTTTCTTTTATTGCTTTTATGCTGATCATAAGCTTTACAGTGAGGGTTGTTCCCTATGTCTGCAAATCTCTGTAAGAACTATGAGCATTGCTTATCTAATTATGATCTGCAGATGTACTCATCTTTTAGAATGTTAAAGGAAAGAACATGCGTATTTTGAAAAAGAGCTGAGTACTAATATGCAAAAAAAAAAAAAAAAAAAACACATACAAAAAATCCCCACTTATATTGTTTGCTATTAATGTGTCTTTAATTTCAGGTATTCGATTCTGTGATAGATGCCAGCTAATAAAACCAGATCGTTGCCACCACTGTTCTGTTTGTGCTATGTAAGTTATTTTTCACTTAAGTTACGTGAGTTGTGAATAACAAAACTGTAGGGGTTGGAAGTGACTTCTAGAGATCATCATGTCCAGCCCCCCTGCAAAGCAGGCTTTCTACAGCACGAGAAAAGTGAAGTTGTTCACACACCTTTTGATCATAAAGGTTCCTCTTTTCCAGTTCCAGTCAGCAATGTATGTGCACTAGCGCATGTCACAGAAGTGTTTGCAATTCCCACACCTACAAATTTGTGAGCATTAAGTTGATAGAAAGCTTAATATCTAGTGAAAGATTAACTGATTGCCTGTAGCAGGTCAAAATAAAGTGTGATTTTCTCTTTTTATCATGTTGGGCCTTTTCATGTGGTATTTGGCAGAAGTTTTAAGTGCCGTAGGGCAGAAACCATCCTCACTGTTTTATCATGCAGAACAACAAAGTCATCTTTAGATCTTGAAAAAGTAATCAGTGTTCTGTCTTAAAATCACACTTACTTTAAAAAGCATCAGTGAATGAGTATCATCTCGAGCTTGGGTCATGTGGAAATCTGACCCATCCCAGAAATACAAAACATCTCACAGCCTTTTGCTATTGATCTGCAGTTGGCAAATCATTACCAAACACAACTCATCAATTTTTCTTTTTTTGCCCTTGTGCAGGTGTGTCCTAAAAATGGATCATCACTGCCCATGGTATGTCCTAGATCGTGGTTTGTAATTTTCTGGAAAAGGAGGCTATTTAAATCCATTTCTTCCATAGAATGGTTTCATGTGCCTCTTTCATTTTAGACCATGTACCTCTACATTGGGAGACTTATAAAATATGAAATGTATATTATTTTTGAAAGACAAATCATTCATGTTTTCTCTATTAACTGTGTGTGAAAGAGTTATATAGATGTAATTTAAAATCCAACTGCCAATTCTGTCTTACTGTTCAAACTGTAAAGGAACATCAACTTAGCCTTTAGTTTTGCTGATATAATTGTTTGAGCATGCAGTTGGTGGTTGCATCAGTAGTATTTGCCTGATTTGTTTCTGAATTGATGCCTGCCCACTTGTGTTTGCGTAGGATGATGCATGGATACACAAAGTTTATACTTTTTGAGAATTGCTGCTCTAAATCTCTTAAACTCCTTTTTTTTTAAAGAAAGGAAAATCTCAGAAATGAAAAGTAATGCAGACGGTTCCCCACCAGAACATCTGCAATATTCTTAAAGTTAGAGGGTTTTTAGAACCTAGTTTATGAGACAGATGCCTCCTATCTTTTCTGCACTCCCTTGCTATTTGTTAGAGTTGCCCTGCGCTTGGAGAATTACAATGAAATTTGTTTGGTTTGTGTTACATGTAACCAAACAAGTGGTGAATCTGGCTTTGCACATGAAGCTTTGCACACAAAGGAAAGGTAACAGAAACGCCAGGTCTGATTACCTGTGCAAACAAGAAACGGACATGAGTAATTAGGAACTGCCTCTGTGACAAATTCACCAGTGGTACCAACTTTAAATAAGATCTCAAAAATATGAACTGTGCTTTTACTTGGCAGAACAAATTTTCAAGTGGAAAGCTGACAGGTTTCAGCTCTGTTTCATTTCGACACTAAGGGGAGCTATTTATTAATGCAATTGTGTTGTATAATCAAGAGGCTTAATAACCTCCATCCTGCCCAATGTAGTATTCATTGTGTTACAACTGTGTGCTATATATATCCTGATTCCAACTCTGCTTTTCTTCTCTAGGGTGAATAACTGCATTGGATTCTCTAACTACAAATTCTTTCTACTCTTCTTAGCCTATTCTTTGTTGTATTGCTTGTATATTGCTGCAACAGTCTTCAAGTATTTCATTAAGTATTGGACAGTAAGTCATGGAATCTGGTTATTTTTTTGTACCTTCTGAGTCTGGTGGGATTTAGTCACTCTTACTACTATTTTGCTTTCAGTCAAAGGAGGGACTGTCTTAGTTCCATATGTGGGGTTTTTTGTTTTTATTCTGCAGCCCTTATTTAACTTCCAGTATGTCTGAAATGCACAAAGAAAATCATCTTCAGGAATTTCTCATTGTAGAGTTAGCTTCTGGAGAAAGAAGGTATTTCCTTTTCTTATACAAATGTGTTCAAACATATGCATCTCAAATTCTTTGAAATTTATCACAGGTTTATTAGCTTAGAAAATTCAAATGTCATTCGAAAGAAGACACTGAACTAGAGCTCAGGATTGCTATCTATAAAATATTCTGGTGGTTTTTCAACATACATTGGGGTATATCATCAGATAACACCACCAAGTCACAGGTGTTGCACAAGATAAGCACAGCTTGAGTTGGGTTAGACTAACCTTAGACATGACTGTGGTTAATTTTCCCAAATCAAAATACAGCTGTTGTTGGCTGGCCAGGCCTCCTCATTTTAAAATATAAGCAAAAAGCAAAAGCCATTAACAGCAGATTTCTCCTAGATATGGAAAGAGTTATCTTCTAGGTAGAAATCTTAGCTGTCAACATTCAATGTTTTTTAAATGGTTACAAGAATACCTCCTGTGTATTTCTGTCTTATTCCAGGAAGCCATTAATTGTGGGTGGGTGGTTTTCTTTTATGTTGTTTCCTGAACTGCCTGGGCATATTTCTTTCCGCTTTGTTTGTATTGTTGTTTTAAGGATTAGGCCCCTTGCCCTTAGGGAAGAGCAAATAAAGAGGTGCAGAATGCAGAGCCTAGAGTTGCTACCATACTGCTTACTGTAACTGATGGTTTTCAGACTTTCAAAGAATATCAGTCCTCTGCTCTGATCCCAAAGTGTAACCTCCTGGCACTCATCTGTTCTTTTTCTAATTCCCATATTACTCTTTCCTTAATATAAAGTTGGCTGAAATAAAGCATACTTCTTAGGCAGTTATCAGTTATCATTTATGTGCAAGCAATGCCAGCTGGCATCTCCAATAGAAACTGGCCTTGTATCTCTAGACCTTTTGCTTTAATGTCCCCTGTGCTGCTAACCCTGTATGGCACTGTTTAAGTAACTTAACTTTTCTGTGCATTAACTGAGTAATTTCTGGTTTTTAAACAGCTAATCACTTACATAAGTGCCTCCTGTGATACTTATAAGGCACTAGCAGGAATTATTATAAATGCTAAGAAAGACACAGAGTCTTCAATTCTCTGACTGCATACATGTGTTGTGCATAAGCTGAGAAGTAATTTTTTTCATCTTTGGGATACTCACAGCCCATCTGTAGGTGTATGCTTATGAAGATCTCTGGCACTTTACTCTTCTAACATAAAAGGAAATGGAGTGTCTCTTCTGCTTTCAGGGTCCTGCTTGGTTTTTGATTTTTCCAAACCATTTCTACTCGGATCTAGCTTTACTTGATTGATACGGCTGTGGAAAAGCTCAGGTTTTTGGCCATCCTCTGTATTGGAAGTGGTGCAGTATTTAATGTATGCACAGGACATTCAGCAAAATGGAAATGAGACTTCAAGAGCTTATCCCTGCCTATTGCACTGTAGACACAGAACATTCTGGTGCCCAGGTGGGAAGCTGACTGTTCTGACTCTGTCACATAAAAAGGTAGCAAGACGCCACTCTTTCTGCTTTGATTACAGGAGGGGAAATGAAAGGGATCATTTCTTCATTGTCTCTTTGTGCTCTTTATAGTAAGGTGCAACTTTTTTTTAACATAAATTTGATACAACAAAATAGGAGTTTTAGAGGATAGCTTCACTAGGAATAAAGAATGTTCAGCTTTTATTTTTTCTTATCACTTGTCCTGTGCTGTTTTTTTTTGTTGTTGTTGTTTTTTTTCTAGGGTGAACTGACTAATGGACGTTCCAAATTTCATATCCTTTTCCTTCTCTTTCTGGCGGTTATGTTCTTTGTTAGCCTTATGTTTCTGTTTGGCTACCATTGCTGGCTCGTCAGTAGGAACAGATCTACCTTAGGTAAGGCTCTTCTTTAGGTGAGATGCAATATTAAGTGCTGCTATATGAAGGGAGAGGGGGAAAAGAACACACATTTTTGGTCTATTTCTGTATATTCCTGCTGGCTTATGAGGGGAGGAGGATTTAAAGCACTGGAACAATACTGTACACATTTGTCACTGCAAATAAGCTGTTTTTAACTGATGTGACAGAAGTTTTGTAAGGGAAACTAGAGCCTTAAAATACAAGTGTCTAATTACACAAATATTATGCATGTGTATAACTACATTTGCTGTGAAGTGAGTGTGGCTTTTCAGGAGTAATGGTTGCTTATGCTCGTATGCTGGAGTGCATTCTAAGACAGCCAAGTAAGGTTGGGAAAAACAATGTCCATCCTCACTGACAAAGACAAAGAAATTAGGACTGTAAAATTACACCAATGAAACGAAGGTCTCGACCAGCATGATTTTATTGAGTGACTTCTTTTTCTTTCCTTGGCTAAGTCTTTTATTTCTTAAACATTTTTGGATAAAGTTCTGTGAGAAAACACAGAGACAAGAGTTTAAGCAAATATTCAGATTTTGTATAATTATTAACTTCTAGGTCATTTTGAGGAGCACTGAAGCTCATCCAGCCCAAAACACCAGACCTCTGCAGCAGCTTAGAAGGCAGATAAAATTGTTTCTAGTGCACTCTAGATTCTCCTCCCCCCTTTTCCTTTTACTAATTTGATTTCTCATCATAACAGAGGGTCTGTCTGTGGATGGTTGTTCCCAGTGCTTGTTCATTATATCGTTGATGAATGAGTCAATTTAAATCTCCAGTACCACTTTTGAAATATGCATTTAAGACTGACCTACTTAATTCTGCATGTTTTTATTTAGAAATTTCTACCCACTGAAGTTCAGCAAGTTTCATGCAAAGATCTTTTAACTCTCCAGTCTGTTTGATTATTTCATACAGTTCATGTGCAGGACCAAATTCCTACCTTCAGTTTGAAAGTCTTTACAGTCTTGTTAAAAAAAAAAAACAAAAACCCTTTGTATCTTTGTAATGCTAGTTCATAATCTGGCAAATCCTGCTCCCTTTAAGTGGCTGCAATGTATACAATCTGTGTCAGTGTATTTGGCATTGATTTTCTTTTTTTTCTCTGAAATTATATCTATGTGTAGAGGCTTTCTCAACTCCAGTATTTCAGAATGGCCCGGATAAAAATGGATTCAATCTTGGCTTTGTAAAGAATCTTCAGCAAGTGTTTGGAGAAGAAAAAAAGCTGTGGTTACTACCTATTGCCTCCAGGTAAGGAATAATCAAGTCTGTGCAAAAAGTTGATACAAGAGATTGACTTCTAAATCTCTGAAACAGCCTTGTGTATGATGGCAGTGATTTTGTGGCTTGGCTGCTCTTGCACATTGCTGTAAAAACACCAGCAAGCACAGTCTGTGCTAATCCTGTACGTGGGAAGTCTGGAAGTGAAAGCTTTCTGCCAGGTAAATGCACTGCACAGGGTGTTTGATCTTTCTGGACTCCTGTGACTTGTGGATAGATGTTCGTTTAGAGATGCTGATTTCTTTGTCCTTCAGCCTCTTATGACTAAAGCAGTTTATGATGCTTAATTAAGGGGAAGATGTTTTGGCACTTAATAGAGCCATAGTAAAGTATACTCAAATTCCTTTAGTTATTGGACACAATGTAAAGTAACTACTGAGCAAGAAGCAACTTTTTCAAGTAGTGCTGTGTCAGTTTAAGACCCAGTTGCATCCCAATTGCCATCTGTTTTTTGCAGTCAGTGAGAAAAGATTGGCAAAGGAAACATTTCCATTAGTGAAAAACACTGAGGTGCAAGTCAGAGGCACATTACCAGTGAGTATAGTAATTCTGGAGAGAACACCCAGCTAATTTAGGTTGAGTGAAGGAAAAGATCTGGTGGTTTCATCAGAAAAGAAAGGCACTTCAGTGAGCTTGTAGTTCCTCTAGACTGCTGGAATGTGGGTGTTGTGGAATGGAGACGAGCAAACGGTAACCTCCGGTTTTTCACTTTTCTTGTTTACATGAATTTGAATGTCAGTCGTTTGCTTAATATCCAACACGTGAGCGCATAGTTTGTGAAGTGTAACAAAAACAACTTCTGCAATTTTAGAATTTTGCAGAAGGTATTTCTTTCCATGTTATGTACAGGTAAGTCTCACTTATCCTTCAGTAACATTGAACTAAGATTGGGAATGTTTTTTACTTGGCATCATTTGAACATGGAAGTGTAATTTCTGCCCTGAAGAGTCTATGGTATAAATAGATAAGATGGGTATCAGTCGTTCTTTAAACATAAATGTTTTCCTCAGTCTCCCCTCACTTGTAGCTGGCCACAGTTTTTTTCCTTTATGTCTGAGGAACTTGATCAAGTTAGGCATGTGAATTCTGCTGAAGTCACTTCATTTGAACTGCAGGTTTTAACTTTCGGTCTCTGAAGAGTTTGCAGGAATTCAGGTTTGAAACTGCTTGCTGGTGATATTTGATATCTCAGTTGCCACAAAAAATACAGTGTTTTTCAAAACTTCATAACATATGAAGTAAATATCAGATGTTCAGGCAAAAGAAAAACTTTGTTGGTGGATGAAAGGGTAGAAATTATAATCCTTGAGAATTGCTTGCTATTATTTACAGCATCTTTCTCGGTCTTTTGCTATGCAGCCAGGGTGATGGACATTTTTTTCCAATGAGAGCTTTGTGTGAAGCTCAGAATCCTCTTCTGTCGAATGAAGAGCAGTGGGAAGATGACGGAATAGATGAGGAGCCTCATGGTAAGGAAGCCATAAAGGAAATGAGTTGTGCCTTGACCTCAGTGACTAATGCATGAATAACAACAGCTAATCAAATGAAAAAAAAGCATTGGCTAAATCACTAAGTGTCTCTGACTTGACTAATGAATGCAGACTAAAAATAAGCCCTACTTTGAAGCCAGTCCCTTTTTTTAATGTAGTTGTAGCTTTCTACTTGCAATTAAATGTGCTCAGAGGTTGTTACAGATGTTGCAGACAGGAATTGAAATCTCCACAAACGGAGTGTGTTTACGTGTAAATGCTGTTGCATGCAGCACGGTTACTGTGAGGTATGAGGTTGTTTCTACAAAAATGAAAAGACCAGTAAGTATTTTATGTGCATTTATCCACTGAAAGTTTGATTGTGTGCACGCAAGCCCCTGAATGTGGTTTTACATTTAGCTACTTCTTACTTTCTTTGTTCACCCTTAGTACAGTAGTATAGAAATTCATTTGGTGTTGATACTGTAACATCTGTGGGTTAGTGTCAACGACTATGTGCTACATCATCTTCATAAAATAAACATATACTGAGAGCAATTCTAGGTAAATTGCCTTGTTTATACAATAGATGTGATCCATTTCTAGAATGGTCATGTATGTTTTACCCTATGAATATTCTATTAGGAAAAGGACCTTATATGTGAATCCATTCTTTGATTTTTGCTAGATACATCCAGAATTACTTTAATGACTTATTACCGTTCTCTGATCGATTACTATTCTCTGCTTGAACTTGAGGTGATGTTCTTTTAAGGACCAAGGATGCCATCCAGATTTATAGTAACAATAACACTGACAGCAACTCTACTGCACCATTATAGTAAATACAAGAAGAAACTGTAAGGAAGAAAGGAATAGACTCTTTAGCAAGGTCTGTTACGATAGGACATGGGGAAATGGTTTCAAACTAAAAGTGGAGAGATTTAGATTGGATGTAAGGAAGTTTTTTACAATCAGGGTGGTGAGGGACTGGCACAGGTTGCCCAGAGAGGTGGTGGTGTCCCATGCCTGCTGACACTCAAGGTGGGTGGGCTCTGAGCACCTGATGGAGCTGGAAGTGTCCCTGCTCATTGCAGGGGGTTGGACTGATGGCCTTTAGGGCTCACTTCCAACTCAAATGATTCTATGTAAGACAGTTAGGTACTCTGAAAAGAAATATCATAATTGCACTGTTCTTTTCAGTTTTACAGGATGGTGAAAGTATGGCTGATTTTTAAGTTTACTATAATTAGCGCATCAAGCAAGGGTATTTTTTAAACCAGATACTGCTGCTGTATTTTTCAGAGGCACTGTTTCCGTGGTCATTTTATTGCTTTGAAATGGTTTTCAGAAACTTTGCAGTAACATTCCCTTTCATGGTATACATTTTAATGATACGAGCACAATATATGTGTAGGAACCCATGAGGAAACCAACATTCTTGGTTAAAAGGGGAAACAAGAATTTTCCATGTGAACTTTTTGTACACATGTGAAATACTGTGTGATGAGCTATTTAACCCATGCAGCACAGTATTTGCACTTCAGTCTCTGGTTAGGTCTTACTGGCAACTGTTCTTTCAAGTTACTCCGCTGCAAAATAAACTACCTATGGTTTTTCCAAGGCACGCTGTATGTACTGCTGGGAAAATGTACTCTCCAGGATTTTGTGACTAGATCTAAAGAGATTTATTTCAGTTTTACTTCAAATAAACTGCTTTAATTAGTTAGTGTTTGTGTGCTAGAAAACTATCTGTTCTTCCTGTTTTGTTCAGTATATTTTGGCAGTGGTAAGGTAACACAAGTTGACTGCAAAAATAACAGAATATGGTATCTCTGTGTATTACATATGATGCTTAAAATTTCCTTTAGAAATTAATCTGAAGCTCTTCCAAGTTTTACAAAGCATAAAAACTCTGAATAAAAAAATCTGTAACTATGAACATGTTTGACAGTGATATGAACTTTGGCCAAGTCAGATCCCAGAATCTGGATTTGGAGCTTAGATGAAGTTCCACATTTTGTAGTGCTTGTGAAATAGCTGGTCTTTGTCAGTGTAAAAAATGATTTACAATTTTATTCCAAGAACCTATAAAACTGTAACAGTAGTAGAATTAGAATGTCTTACTGTCTTATAAAAGCCAACCTGAGACAATATAAAGGCACAAAAGTGAGAAAATGGGCTGAGCACACATTTTTGAATGGATGGTTAGCTATTAGTATATGGACATTGGTTCACAGTTGGATGCTCCTGTGGGTCTTGAAGCAGCTCACAGCAGAAAGGCAGCTTTCAGCCTGTCCACGATTCAGCATCACAAGCACAGTGAGGCACATGAGCTTTCAGCAAAAAGCTTGGTAGCAGACAGGGATGCCCAAATGTTGCTCTGCAGGTTTTGTGTCTCTCATGACCCTCAGGTAGGGTCACAATTAATTCAATAACAACATATGTAAAATATTTTTGTTTAATTTGTTTTCAAATACAACTCTTGGAGCATTTTCTCTGGACTCATTAATATTCTGTTCTGCCTGTGCTGATAACAAATGTTTGCTTGTCATTTTTATCATTATGAAAGATGCTTCTGGGGAGGGAGAGATGTATAAGGTAAGGTACCAACTTGGTTTTTTCCTGCCACCTGGATGTTCATCACCTAGACAAAGCAGGAGCTGGTAAACACAAAAGTTCAGATATGGGAGCTGCAACTGTTTAGTCTGGAGAAGAGGAGGCTCAGGATAGACCTCATAGGTCTATACAGCCCTGTGAAAGGAGATTGTGGCGAGGTGGAAGATGGCCTCTTCTCCCATGTAACTAGCAATAGGATGAGAAGGAATGGCCTCAAGTTGCATCAGGGGAGGTTCAGGTTGGGTATTAGGAAATACTTCTCCAAAAGAGGGTCAGGTGCTACAGTGGGTTGCCCAAGAAGGTGGTTGAATCACCATCCCTGGAGGTGCTCAGGAAATGATTAGATATTGTACTAAAGGGCATGGTTCAGACTGGTGGTAGGTGGACTGAATGATCTTGGAGGTCTTTTTCAACCTTGGTGATTCTATGATTGTGCAGCGTCCATCCCGCAGTCTTAGTACTGCCAGCTGCATCAGGATCAGAACAATAACTAACTGTTCTCTTGTATTTCAGTGGAGTCTGTCTCCTGGAGTTCCACCTCTAATGCTCATGCAACTGTTATGTAGTAGGAGAAGAGAAGGTTATCCTCATCAGTTTCTCACTCCAGCTCATGCAGAAGGGAGAGCAAACTGCCATAGAATTAACGAAAAGGGCAGAGTGCAGAAGTTTGGTTAAGCACCTGTGTTGTTCTCCTCCCCAGTTGCATTATTGCACTGTATTACTTCCACTCTAGTTATTTTGTGTCTGCATAAAGACGTTTTAAAATCAGGTCACATAGATACCAGGGTTGATGAACATAAGGGGACTTGGAGATTCTTGAGGAGCAAACAAGCCCAACTGAAAGCAAGGAGGTGAGGCAGCTTCATCTTGGGCTATTTTCATATAATGGCTTAGGTTGGAGGGGACCTTATTGATTGTCTAAGTCCAACCCATGGGCTGGTTGCCCCCACCAGATCAGGCTGCCTGGGGTCCCATCCAGCCTAGAACATCTCCAGGGATGGGTCATCCACAATTCTCTAAGCAGCCAATGTCAGGGCCTCGCCGCCCTCTGAGTAAGCATTTTTTTTCCTTTCATATAATCTAAATCTCCACTCTTTTAGTTTAAAGCTATTCCCCCTTGTCCTGTTACTGTAAGACCATGTAAAAAGTTGGTCCTTCTCAAGCTTATTAACTTCCTTAAAGTACTGGAATGCCTCAGAGGTCTTCCCAGAGCCTTCTCCAGACTGAATAAGCCCAAATCCCTCAAGCTTTCCTTGAAGAAGAAATGCTCCAGCCCTTTGATCATCTTCGTGGCCCTCCTCTGAACCCATTCCAGCAGCTCTGCATCTTTCTTTTGCTGGGATGCAGTACTCAAGATGATGCCTCTCAAGGGCACAGTTTTCTCAGTCATTTTATCCACAAGGTTGTCCTTTTCTCAAATATTTAAGTGTGTCCTTACAGTTTGGGTTTCTGTTATGTATATCTTGACTTGCTAAGGTTTTTAGTCTTTCATTTAGATGGAAAAAAATATTGTGGGGAAGGGTTTTTTTTTTCATTTCTTAGTGAGAGACTGAAAGCACCTGCTTCCGAAGACATGGTAAATTGATTTTTTTTTTTTTACAGATTTATTAATGCTCATCTCTTATTCACAGGCATCTGTTTAATCTGTCTAGCCAGAGAGCTACCCCAAGTCATATGCTGGCAGCTTATAAGGTTATCATATTTTTTCAAAGAATTCATCTATAATACATTTGACGTGTTGGTTGAGGACGTGGATGTGTCAGTACTGTGAATGCTTGCACTCTTTGTCTCATGGAGCTCAGGATAGCACAGCCATTTCTGTACATTTATAGCAACATCTGATCTCTTAGAGTGATTAATAATTTAATAATATGTTTCATTTTAACTTGTACAAAAGGCTTCAATGTGAATCAAATCTTTCCCAAATTGTTCTCTCTTCAAAAATTTGTCATCTGTACTAAGTTACATGTTTCCAGCAGAAGCCAACATAGCCTGAGCAATAGGTGGAAGCTGATGATTTCTCTTGATGTGATGAAGCTTCAGGTATCTAAAGGCATCTGCTTTGAATTTCAATTCAAATTGATAAGAGCCTAATTAAAGGAGCGACATGTCCTGAGATACCAGCTAATTTGGCAGAGCAGTCCTTTGAGCAGAGAAGTCATCTGTTGTGATTGTAAGGATTACATTTCTGTCCATCGAGAAATTTTAAAAGCTGCTTAGATGTTGGAAGAGAGCAGAGATGGCTCAGACAATAAAGCAGTGCACTGTGCAACGCAGTAAACTGAGACAAAAGGCTGGATTTGCATCTCTGGATTTCAGGCATGATTTACACATCTAAACTGTGTCTGGCAGAAGATGAACATAAAGCAAAGCTAAACCCTGTGTCAGTGACTGCATTCTAATTTTAAATCATGAAGGGGTACCTGCGGAGGAATCTGCATCAGTTTAACCAAATTCATGGGTAAACATATTTAGCATAACCAATATGGTTTAAGCAGTCAGGGGAACAACTCTAAAAACGTACGTGTGGGAATTAGATCTTTTTCCTACAGGTGCTGCATGTTTTCAGGGTTTTGTTGGGTGCCTTTTTGTTTTGTGGGTTTGTTTGGATGATTTTTCTGTTTGTTTGGGTTTTATTGGTCCTTTGCCTTGTTTTTTTGATTAGGCAGTTTGTTTCACTTAACCATGCAGGTGGGGAAAGGCACGAGACGGTAATCTCCCTCGTTCCCAGGCAGGCTGTGAAGATAGATCTACATATAGATTACATATAGATTTGCATACAGATTTCTTGGGGATTATGGTGCATTAATTATGGTCAAAATACAGTTCTGCAGTAGAGCAAAATGTAATTATTGCTGGCAATTAGCAGGATGCTATTTCCAGTAAATATGAAGTAGGAGCTGCTTTCAGACCAGTTGCTATTTCAAACAGTCTACAAGTAGTTGCAGACTGCTATTAGATTGACCCCGAGCTGCTGCTTCATGAGATTAACCATGCCTGACTGCCTCCATCTCTCTCTATAAGTTTACAGTAGAAATTTCTGTTCTGCCTTCCTGTGGCTGACATCTGATCTGAACTATTTTCAGGTTTCCAATTGATTTGAACTGCATTCATTTTTTTATTCTGCAAGTGAAAATGTTTAGGAATAAAATATCATGAACGTGATATATCCCATATATTAGTACATTACTATGTATTAGTATATTATCATGTATTTCTACCACTTCTGTACTAATGCAGCTGTATTCAGAGAACATGATTTCCTGGTTCATTTAGCTCTCATGCCCTCACTCCTTTCTGACAGAAGGGTTTGGGGAGAATGCACTGTAGAAGGAAATGATGTTTTTCTTGTTTTCTCACCACTGCTTTTTTTTCTTTTTTGGTAAGGCATCAGCAAATGAAGTGCTCTATGCTTAAGAGTGTTCAGATTACATCTCACACAGTAGAACTAAAGCAATATAATTTTCTAATCAGAATGGTCTGAAATGTTCCATTAAAATGGAAAGATTTTTATTTGTCATAGCAGCTTTACAATTTGTGATATGGTTATGAAATAGATGAAGCCAATAATAAAGTAATCTCTCTTAAAAAACTGCCATTCAGTTAGCTCTGACAAGTGATTGTCTAATTTCTTTGCAATGATTCTTTAAAACACTCTCACACATTTAGTGGCAAATATATTTGTAGTGAGAAAAACAGATTTACTTATCTAACTACTTTGTCTTTCATTGTATAGATTCTGGTGAAGCTGCGTCCCTTGCCATAGAAAGGGAGACATAGCAGTTTGAAAATGGCAGCAGTAGAAAGCTTGTTCAGAAAGGTCAGTATTTGTTTGTTATCTTCAAAACAGCTGCTCTGCAGGGAATCTGGTAGTTAACCGTGGATGGATTTTGATTTTAGCAGTCACCTACCTCTCATGACACTTGACAGTCATTTAACACTCCAAAGGCTTTGGTGCAGCAGTGTGCCCAGGGAGGGGCAGATGCCCCTTTGCTACAATATCATGATGCAACCATGCATGGTAGTATTTCACCAGTATGTTCAGAAATAGGTTGTTTAAGAGAACCTAAAAGAAAATAGTGGCTGCCTTGTGGCCCTGGGCTGTATGTCCGAATGTTTTGCACAAGAGCCAAAAGCAGTTTGTAAGGGAAAATACAAACCCTGCAGCTCCTATGGTAAATGCAGCAGGAATTATTCTTTCCCCTAAGCTGTTCAGTTACGAGAATGAGAATCTGTTCTGTGTTTCGTGAAAGGTGTGGGAAGGTGGAGATACAATCTTGAAAGAAACCAAAGTTGAGAACAACCACACTGTGTGCTCCATGCGCTTGGGAATAAATGAAAGTAGCTTGTAATGCCCACATCAGCCATTATTCTATTAGTTTTTCTTCATTCTTAAGAAACTTGGATACAAAGACAGATTATATGGTTTGTAGAAGGTGTTGCTGCCAGAGCATCAACACAGAAAAATAATTTGTTCTGACTTTCAAAGCAATGGGGAAGTATCCTGAATATGTACTCCTGCATTAAGCTGCAGACAGTGTCCTCTTTGGTCTCCATGAGGTATTTTCACAGTAGAGTACTGCTGACTGAGATTCATTGGGTATCTTCTACTGTCCCTCTTGCAGGAGGTGGAGTAGTTATGTAGAACTTTCTTGTCTACTTGCTCTGGATGTTAAATAACTCGCACTGTACGTTAAAGCTGTGTAATCCACTGCTTAGTTCTGCACATCAGTAAAACAACTTGGGATTTTTACAAATGGGCTTCTTGCTCATTGTAGATGCAATTCCATTTTTTGCCACTGAGAAAAAAGATAACAAGTGTTTCTTCTCTAGGTAGTCATTGAGAACTATATATTGCCATTCCACTCAAAGTGCAAAAGTAGCATTTTCCCCATGATTCTGGATGGCTTTAAAATGATACTGAAAGTTGGGATTAGAAGACACATACTCCTCATCAAATCAGTGTTTACATTGCGTGTTTTTCTTCATTTACATTTCAGCCTCCCTCTCAGGAGTCACCATCCCTTCTCTCTGCATGGACTTCAGTTTTGAGAGGCAGAAGATAAGTGGATCTTCAAGATGTAGAAGCATTGAGAAGTATCATTTGATTGGAATCTGCATTCTAGAGTGCTTCTCCAGAAATCCTGCTAACCAGATGTTTCAAGGCTTTATAAGTTTAAGTTATGGAGTGAACGGAACAGTTTTACAGAGTGATTCTGGCCAATCTTCTTTGGCCTGCTCTCTTTATTTTATAAATAATATATATTTTTTATTCAAAATAGGTTTAAAAAAAAAAAAGTATTGATGCGAGTGTGTTTCCAAAGGCCTTTTCATTTTGCAAATATCAGGGACTTGAGTTCTCAAAATTCTTCCAAGCCATAATATTCTTGGGGATGGTATTTATACTGAGTCTGATGCTCTAACCTCCTCAGCCAGGTGGCGTTTTCTAATATGTTTAAAATTCTGAGTTGGTTCAACTCAGTGAGATACAGACTCACTTAAATTTGGCACTAAATTGATAGTTGATTTGTGTTGAAAGAAAAAGCACTGAACGTGTATATATACATGTGCAACTGTGTATGAAAACAGAACGATCATGTTGCCAGTATCAAGATTCAAGAATATTGTGGCCACAGATGCTTTTTTTCCTGGGTCAGTGTAAATATCTTACAGTTAAGAGTTGCAGCGCCCTTCAGTCCCACTTAGAGTTACCTAAAGAGCAAACAGGAATTTTAAGCTGCACAATGTGCATTAATTCCTAGGGCTAAAAGGACAGTGTTTGTATGCTAATTAGAGCATTATCAACTCATTCCCGGGCCCGTGTTTCATGGAAAATCTTGTTTGTGAAGTCAGAAAGGACTTCACAAGATTTGAATTGGAAATGTGTGCTGAATGCTTAGCTTCCACAGTCGCGCTTGGAGTGTCTGTTCCACAAAGGTGGTTTCAGCCCCATAACACTGAAGGGACTTTTGATGTACTGAATTATCTCATACTTCTTCCTCAGTAGATGTATTGACTTATATTTAAAAGGCTTTTCAGCACCAAGAGGTGATTAGATTCTTTATTTTGCTCCATTTGCAATTAGAGGAATGTATTGTTATTCTTACTGTGTGGAATGGAACTGAGAATTTGCTGGCAGGTTTATATGTATTTTTCTAGATCCAAGTCGCTATTTTATCTGCATGATTCAGAGCTGGCAACTCCATCTCTCATGTTTGAACCAGGTGCATGTTTACTGAATTGGTATACTACTTTAAGATCATTTGCTAGCATTTTCTATCCTGGTTTTCTGTTTGTTCATCAGCCCGTTTGTGTCTGCTTTAATTACAGAAGCAGTTGTCATAAGAAATCATCTGATCTAAGTATCTGTTGGTGACAAAGGCCTTGGCTGCAGATTAAGACTCCTCTCTGTTTCCTCTGTTGAACTACCAGTGCAAGGATGTTAGTGACACAGGAGAGACGTGTGGAGATGTTTTGTCGATGAGTAGACGTTTAACTACCGAATATAAACCGTGCCCTTTGGACATGGTGTTTTATACGTCAGGCTGTACTTAGGAGTAGCACAGGCCATGGACTCAGCAAAACATGCTACTGCTGAGCTTTAGTTCTCAGAAATTAGGGTGAGTTCTCCCTGTCTAACTTATTCTCCTTTCTCTTCAGAGTTCTATGGAACGCTCTTGGAACGTTCCTACTCTGGCCCTTTGGTTGGGTGGTTCTGTCACCAGGTGGCTGTTGACCACTGAAACTATTTTTCTTGTTAAATCTCAAGCTGCATTTCTCATGAATAAATCTCGTGCTCAGTTTTAAGCTGTGAAAGGCAGCACTAGAATTGATCACATTGTTTCTGGTAAAATGTATTCCGGAGGTGAATCATGAGAAGGGAGTGCCAGTTATTTGCTGTAGGAAGTGTGTAGGAATTTAGCACTGTTACTTGTGTATTTGTGCCTTTAAAACTCTAAATTCCTTCTATATAAAAAGCAGGAGGATAAATTGCTGACTATTCCATTCTGCCAGCTGAAGTGTGTTTTCCAGATAGGAATATCAAAGCTGTGTGAAGCTGTGTGGATTTACAAGGGTTTTCTGAGCAGGATCTTGTGTCCTTTTGAGGTTTGGTTCTGTTTACAGCCATGTCATTATTTTAATGCTGTTTCTCTGCCAAGCAAAGCAGCAGAAGAGCTACCTAAAAGAACTGCAGGCTGCATCCCCACTTGCTGTCTAGATGCAGCACTGTTCATTAGTTAGTAAGTAAAATCCATTTTTGTCTTGTGGTTATTATTAAAACAGATATCTTTATGATAATGCAGCTATCCAGTTCAGATTTAGAAGCAGCTTTAAAAGTTTCTAACTACTTAAATGATGCTTTGGCATTTGTCCCTATCTTACTCTTATTAAATAGACTTGCTCATAGTTAGTTATGGCAAATTCTCCTTTTTCTTAAAAGCAGCTCAGATGCACAAACACTCATGCAGGTAAAAGTGACAAACAGTGTGATAGCTCAGAGCCACTTCAGTATCTGCACCAGTCAGGTTTTTGAATGCTTCAGGGTGGAATGTGAAACTGAAGGAGAAAAAACTCTGGTGTGTCTGAGTGACTGAACAAACTCCATTTTGTTCTCTTCTGCTTAATTGAAAGAGAGATACTTACTCTGCTAATTGCACTGTGCATGCTGATTTCCAGGGCAGTTGGTGCTGTGTTTTAACCTGGCAGCAGCTCAGCACCATAGAGCCACTCGCTCACTCACTCACACCCTCCCAGGGGGATGGGGGACAGAATTGCAAAAAAAAAAAACCCAAACAAACAAAAACAACAAAACAAAGTAGAACTCGTGGGTTGAGATAAAAATTATATACTAAGAAAAGGAAGAGGAAAAAAGCATGATAGTAATGATAATTATATATATATCATCAGTCTCTGAGCAGCAGCTGCCCACTCAGCCAATTCCCCATGATATTTCAAGGTTTCTTTCCACATGATGCTTTATGATATGGAATATCCATTTGGCTAGTTGAGATCAGCTGTCGTGGTTCTGTCCCCTCACTGTCAGGACAATTCAAGGAGTAGAGAAACTGAAAGGTCCTTAGCTCCATGCAGCACTGCCCAGCAGCAACTAAACATCAGTGTTCTATCAGCACTGCTTTTCTCCTAAAGCCAAACACTGCATCGTGGCAGACACTACGAAGGAAAAGTCAACTCTATCCCCACTGATAGCAGAATAGTCGGGCAGGCTCCTCTGCCTCCCAAGGTCAAAGCTGACGCAGGAAGCTGCAATGAAAAGTCTGGGAGGTGTTCACCGAAGCTGTAAGTGAGCAGCTGGATCCCTGGGGGAAAGCTGTTTCTCCAAGTATTGCTGCTGAGATCTGTTTGCTCCGTGCATTATTACAGCTGATGCTTCAAACGTCACTGCAGATGACCTAATAAGGAGAACACTGTTTTGTTCGCTTGACATTTTTGGCCTTTAAGAAACCTGTTAGAAACCTAGGCAGCGTGAAAGCAGTGATTACCTCCTGCTACCTATGGCTTTAAAGCTGGGTTCCTATTTAGTTTATTATTTGACTTTGTTTTCTTAGATTCTGTACTAAAGTTGCATACAAAGAATGTAGTATATACAGGTTCTGCCAGGTAAGTTCACTGGGAAACAAATGCTTCAGGCTGTCTGCAGGCACTGCTGCAGGTAACAGAACAGCTGAAGCATTCAGCTGAGTGCACGTTAGTTTTTTTAACATGCACGTAGCTCTTTGATGGGTAAAATGCATTTCCACTTTCACTGGTATGCGGGCTCGGTCTGTGTGATACACTGTGGAAAAGGCCCAAAGTAACTTCTGTCCTCAGTGGATATCAGGAATTGCAGAAGCATCTGTCTGTGGAGAACAATTTTGCTGGCCTAGCTTCGTGTAGCCAAGGGAGGTGGGAGAACACTCTGTGTTGCCAGCAGGCTGCGGGCACAGCAGTGCTTGGTGCATGTCAGGCCTTGGGCTGCCTGCTGTGCTGCCTGTCCGCATTGCTTGCTGGGAATGTGGGAGCTGGAATACAGCTACCAGAAGCTGTAGTTCTACCAGCTGTCATCAACTAGCAATGTGAGTGGCTGGAGTGAGATCTCAGTATCACGTACCTGGAGTGTCTCTGAAAGTGCTGAACACCACAGTGAGCTTTGTAGGCTTAAATCAGGACACAGTAGTGTGAGAATTCAGCCTGTGGATGGCATACCTTGCCTTTGGCCTTTCGTGGTCTCTATTTAAGCATTTTACAAATGCTTCCTATAGTGGGAGTGAGAACTTTTCCAAGTGGATGCCATCGTGTGAAAGAATTCTCTTGCTGGATTGTACTGTCTTACCTGCTGCCCTGTCTTATCCCTGTTCTCTTAGGCTAATGCTCCAAAATAATTCACTACTAACAACCACCTCCTCACCTCTCCCGTTTCTCCCATTTCCATTCAGGTAGGTTATACTCTTAGAGAAGGCATCATATTGATGCCTCTGCAGATTGTATTGTGCTAAGTCCTATCTTTGGCCGGTGAGTACTGGCCAAGGAATTAAGACTGTAGTAAGCATCACTGCACTGCACCTTTTTTCTCTTGCTGAATCGGTACAGTGTTTTTGGAGTAGAAGATGACTGTATTCCTCTGATTCAAGTAGTACTGTATGTCTTAGTAGGCTGTACTAGTGCATGTAGTGTACTGTAGCTGATGGGGCCCAGGAAGCTTTTTAATAGCACTACAGCAATGAATGTTTGCTTCCTGGAACAAGCCAGAAATGTGATTCAGCAAAATCTGTAAGAGCTGTAGGTTTTATATTCTGTATGCTGGACTGAAAGCACAACTTAGTAGATAGTTACAAAACTTAATGTGTAAAGTCTGTAAAATAATATGAATGTAAAATGTCAGGGAAAAGTAGAAACTAACCTTTTCTTTCCTGTAGTTAGATATAAAAGAAGATGTGTTGCAATGCATTCAGGGACCAGCTGCCTCCGATGCAGTCGATAAGCCAGCAGCACAGATTTGCTGTTTGCATAGCTGGCTCAATCATGAGAGTGTTGAATTAGCAGGCTAAGGAGGTACTGTTGATGTTGTTTATTAAGCCAGAATTAATTAACTCAGAGTCACATTTTCATTTCCGTGACTCTTCTGGTACAAAGTTTCAAAATTGATCCATGCTACTTGAAAATAGCTTGATTTTATTGATATTTTTCCAATTCTGTCAGCTTCTGTTTTGTTACA